GTTGCCGACCTTTTGGGGATTATGGATTTGGAGATTTTGACACACATTCACACGGCGAAACACAACGCTATGGTTGTTTCACGCCAGTTTTCTGTGAAGCCGTGGTATCACTCCGGTCGAGCCGACCCATTCGTGCCGAAACATGGCCTTCGCACACTTAAAATAGTATAAGTACTAGATAGTCATTCGATTTTTTTCAGGTGATTCAGGATATGCTCAACGTGCCTACTTTATGACACAATTAGTGGTGCTGAAGCCAATTCCCCAGAAGCATTTTAAAATAACATCCATGCATATTACTGCTCGCAATTTTGAAGAGAGGACAATTAGAGACGAAATTATGTACAATTGCTGAAGTTCAAAGGAAGCAAACTAGGAATTTGCCATCTAATACAGGTTTAAATCTAGGACGTAGGCAAAATATAGTGCCTCAAAGAGCCAATAGACCACCACAGACGGAGCCCTACAGGGCTGATGTTCAGCCACGGTGGTGGGGCAAGCGCAATGAGGTGCCACGGTCACGGCCTAAAGCAGGAGAAGGAACGGGGGGGTTTTAGTCAGTAAGAGTCTGACACTATCTCGCCTTACCCTGGGCGGGAGAAGTGATATGATGATTTTCCCCTGACAAAAAAATATGATTATGATTTTATTTAATTTTATTTTGATTTTAATTCAATTAGGGTCTTGTATGATTTTATTTTTTCCACATTTTTTTATGCGAGTGATTTCATTGTTTTATTACATTTTTTTCTTTTAATTTAGCCTTACGAGCCTAATTGTTAGACCCTAGTTAATTTATTGTATCCCATAATTGTTTGAATATACAATTGAGTTAAAATCAAATAAATAAATAGTGATATGTGAGGATGGGTCTTTAACTAATAAAACTGCTAGTACTCGTTAAAATTGTTTAATTTAAATATAAAAAAAAATTTGGTTGAAACGTCTTAAACACTAAAACACAACTTCGTTGTTACACCCTATCTCGATGCATGGCCTCTGCCAATGCTCACAATCCATTCCAGATTGAAACTACAGATCCAGCTAAAATTTAATCATTCCCTAGACTTCTCTTCAGAAATGCTTGCAAGATCTGCGCATTTGATATTTGTAAATTCTTCCAATTGATTTGAAATCGTCTACTCTTCCACCTTCAGGAATCTCTCTGTGATGTTGGAGAATTCCGTTCGCCGTTTTGATGTTGGAGGAGCAGCAACTGAAGATGTGTGACGTGATACTGAAAAGAGAACACCGATTAATATGTGCATTGATAAAAACTCTTTAACAAATTGCAGCTTTTCGCTGTCGTTTGTTCCAAAAATTAAGTTCTTTCTTCAACCTCTGATAGCTCAACTTCATCTTCCACCACACCAGTCCTGTCCTGCGCCTAGCTGCTAAGCTTCTTATGGCGCTTTTTTCTCAGACCAATACTACAAGCAGACATTTATATTAATAAAGAAGTTATTAAAAAAAGCCTTACTTTTTATTATTATTAATAGTCAATGTAAAATTAAAATAAGTTATATAACCAAGGAGCACGCCAAGATTCATCGTTATTTTAAGTGGCTTGCATTAAGGAATATTAAATGGTTTTAACATGCCAAAGTAAGCACTACTTACTTCACCTTGGTCCTCTGTTTATAAGTTTTGAAAGTGCCATCTATACCATACAGGCACAGGCACACGGCTAGTTTCTTCCACTAGCGCCGATTTCGATCTCTGGCACCTTGAGTTCTCAAGAAACCCTTCGCCAGCCAGGTAAAACCTGTGATGACGACGGGTGTGAGGAACGTATCTCATTTGTACTGAAACATTATGGTTTGATTAGAAAACAAAATAAACACTCTATAATAAATATTATTTTTGAACTTTACAACCAGTAATAAAACTTACTTCATGTTTATGATCTCTCTTTTTATCGGCAAACACGGAACAGAAAAAATATACGAATAAACCAAACGTGGACAAAATAATACAAAGCAAATGACAAAGAGTTTGTCAACAATGAATGAAGACATTATCTGTCAGTTTCTTTTTGGTAAACGAAGCACAGATTATATTCATCGCCTGAATTTACAGTTTTCTGTTTATTTTGTAATAATTAGCTGCCTAAAATTCCTTAAAATAAGAAATTTCAATTTATACGTCATAATATCTAAAATTCTGTGTCAAAAACTTGTTAAAATAAAAACCGATAAATCTCGACTTACATTTTGTGTAGTGTGGTACTACACTAGTACAGTATTGGCCGATTCGGAGCTCACTCCACTTCGCAAGTGCCTAGGTGATGCTTACAGAATGCAAAATCAACGCCATTTTGAACCTTATGCGAAGTGAGAGAGAATGTCGACTTGACATGCGAGTTCGTGTTAGAATTTTATAGAATCGACGTGCTGAGGTACTTAATAAAAGCTTGTTTTTGTAAAAGTAAAAGTAATTAGTGTGTTTATTATTTTTGAAAAAAAAACGTGTTACTTGCTCACGTAAGCAATTTATTTGGGTACAATTAGGTAATTTAAGAAAGGACTTCTAGTTATCTGGATTTAATATACCTACTTGGAGATTGGGGACTGATTTGGTTGAGTCTCGCAGCCAAAACTCAACCAAATCAGTTCAGCAGTTTAAAAGGTTGACACGAACAAACATTTAAGAACACACCACACGCTATATTGAATGTAAGTAGCTTCCCAAACATGTTTTCTGACAAACTTATTTTGCAACAGCGCAGCGTAGGTAAACTTTAACCAGATGTGGCAATATTTGTGGACTTGTCTCAGAACTTCACATGGTGTATGTTTGTTTGTTTTTCCACCGATGATTAGGTCGATTCATTACGTCACTATTTCTTCAAGCTTATGGCACGTTTTGAACGACCACAACTTGTTTTTTTTTTGCTACTTCTAAGCGTGTGATTAGTGAAGTTTCCGTAAACTAACAGATTTTTTCATGTCGTGGAATTTATTTATCTATAAGATCTATCTGCGAGAGTGTGTGAGAGTGAATTTCTTGCAATGTTAGAAGCGACTTTAGTTTGTCAATAGATATCAAAGAAGCTGTTTTTTTTGTAAGAGTGGATAGTTATCCTATATGATAGCTGGCTGGGATTTAAGGACTTCGGAATCTTCTGATTAAAGAATATCCAATGTGAATGTGACGTTTGCCTAGAGAGTTGATAAGAAAGTATAGATTCATTGTGCAATAGTTTAAAAAGAAACATTGTAATTAGTTAGTGCTTAAGTTTTTTTAAATACTACTCAAGTATAACAATTAAACAAAATGTAATAGCTTTGAAAATACAACTTAGTAGGTTCTGTTCAGTTTCATAATTGATAGCGTAGCATATTATTGAGAATATTTTTATCAATTTATAATACGAATTTAAATTCTGTGTGTAATACTTGTCCAGATTCTAATCCTTAACTGTTAAAAGGCGTGCCAGCACTTGTAGGTTAGGTAACTACATACTTATTATCATAACATATAATTTTAATTGTTCATGCTAAATTACTTATATTAGCTAAACAGGTAGTAGATATTCGTAATAGTGCCAATAATGAGTATAAAACCATAGTATACCCTTCTTACTTAAAAATAGAACAAATCAACTTAAAAAAACGTTGTAGTCATTTCAATAACGTAAACAGTTTAAAATAAATCCTCATTTATTAATCAAAGCTTGACATGATACGGCAAATAAATGCAATTCTATTGATAGACAAGACAACGGACGCCATTAATTTTTTGCCGACAATTGCACTCTGCGCAGCGTCATAAATTGATCATTGTTTTGATACAGCCATTTTGTATTTTTAAATGATTAAAGTGTTTGTCTGCCTCTGTGTCTGTGTGTTTTAGTGTAAGTTTATTGATTCGTGTGTTTTTGTTATGTGATACTTTATGCACCTGTTGTTTTCGTAAAAGGATCGTTCTTTTCATGTATTTTATTTTTATTTTTATTTATAGCTTCATCCACAAGAAAATATTCACGAGGTGGACTTAATGCATTGAGCATTCTTGACCAGTCTGACCTTTGGGTGATGCAGAAAAGAACACGGATGGCAGATGCAAGAAGCAAGCAGGAAATTAAATATATCGTAAAAGACTGAAGAAGCATACCTATATTGTGTACAATAAATCTACACATACAATACATACATCTCTCTCTCTTATCCAAAGACCTCATAGACTTTCTAAACATGTTTTTTTTTGGTACAAAATTTTGTGCCAGGTAGACTCCCAGTGGCTTGGGGTAGTCGTAAGATAATGAAAAATAATAGTTCTTTTTCTTCTTCAGTCTAGTATACTACATGAGGGGCAAAAAGCTAAATGGTAAATGGTCACTGCGACTAAAGGGAATATCCAACAAGAAGGCCAGGTTTCACTGGCGTATTGCTGGCCATGTATAGAAAACTGTTTAATTCCGCCATCATTTAGAAGTTAAACATCCAAATAACGAGCGTGCGATTAAAATAAAATATTATTCTTGACGACATTTTCTAAATTTGAATTTTTTTTTAATTTAACTGTACCTAATGCATTTATTTTTTTATAATTTATAATTATTAAATCCTAAATATTCGGGCTAGTAATAATACGGTCATCGAACACGACCCATAATGTTAAAAATATTAATGATTAAAAACCGTACTTAAAATAGAAACTATTTATGTATAATATGTACTTATAAGTTTTTTTAAGCTATGTGAGACGCATTTGGCTTATTAAAAATTTCACACCAAGCCTAATGTATGGCTTAGTTGCTCATGCCTGCAATTATAACGAATGAGTCCATCTGTTAATCAGTCAATTAAAACAAATTCCAGTAGTACACACTTAAGTAGCGTAGGATTTTGATGAATGAAACCTATTTATAAATACCATAAATCCTTATCTTGGAGATTTTGTATCTGTTGTAGACTTAAAGACGTTCTTTATTCAAGTTACGTTTTAAACTGATTTGTAAAGAGAACATTAAAATGTAGTGCAAAACGTTTACTTACGATTTCACTCGCCGTTCACGAAAGTTCCAATCGATTGAAAACACATACAATTTCGTCAACACTTGTTTGAATTAAGAATAAATTAAATGATATATTTTTTAAACTCACTTTTTAATTTTTTTTCAACGTATTTTTTTTTTATAAAATTATAAAAGTTAAATTGTACACTTTTTTTTGTTTGTGATTGATTCGAGTCAGAGGAGATTCGTGTTATTAATTAATTTAAAACAGGTACACTTAAAAATATTTGTGTAAGTACTTCTGTACAAAATATTTTATTTTAAAGTAAGTTATATCACAGTTAAGTTACTTTTTAAATAATAAGTACAACGCACATCACTATAAAAGTAACACAAAAATAATTTAAAACGGAGATTCGAGTTTTAAAAGATGTTTTTCCGTCACCGAGTTCGATATTTAAAACACGGTCGCGGCGAGCGTGCGTTCACCGCGGACATTCTTTTCGAACTGAGTTGAATACTTCCTTGGACCGCTTTTAACCAACGTGAAGCAAACTAAACAAGAAAAAAAAAATAACGAGGCAAAAGCTCGCACCTTTACTTTAATATTATTATTATTATAGGTCTGTTCCATGTTATGTTTGAATGAATGAACCACATATTTTTTAATAGTTGGTCTAATAAGATACTTAGTTTGTAGGTTGTTTTTGTTTTTTTTTATCTGTTGAAGGATTAATTTCCGTTCGATTTTTAAATTGAGCCTTTTATTGATTTCGTGTGTAGATTAAAAATTGGTTTTTTATGGTTCGAATATATCTAAAACTACCTTGTAATATAAATTATATGAAAAAAAATGGTTCTAAAGAGACCTGATCTCTTTAGAACCATTTTCTTAAAACCATTTTTTAACAAAGAAGGATTCTACAGCTTGTATGTGGTGTCTTAGTAACTCATAGTGATAGTCAAAGAGATCATAAATGTTGTTTATGCAATACAAATATAATAAAATGTACCTATAGATACCTAAGCAAATAATTTAACGTTTGTTTAGCTAGTTACATTACTCATATTACAATAAAGAAAGCTTTGATTGTTAGTATGTCTGTTTGCAACCTGTGCAGTAACTATTTAATCGTGGTAATTCAAACGCCCGCTGTCGCTCGGGCTTTGATGAATAGAATAAAAGAGACTACGAAACTAATAAATTGGTTTGGGAGTTACGTAGGCTATTTTTAACCCAATGTTACTGTTGAGTTAAGTGCGGGAACGTAATTCTTCGGTGCTTATAGGACGTAAGAGAGGGGGTGGTGATATATAGCGAATTCTTCTTTGCACTAACCGAAGCTAGAAGAACTTAAAATTACAACTAAACCCGCAGGTGAAGATGGATAAAGTTCATACATACCTATGCACAAAAAGCAAGATTTTCCAATGAACTGAGTCATATAGTTAACACAGAGATCATGTTTGTATATTTATGTGGCATATTGTAGATAAGATAACGATTAAGATGAATGACTTAGAAATCATGATACTTTCACATGTCGAGTTAAACTTTATTTTCTCCTACTAGTCACATATTATGCCATACCTTTGCATAACTTGTGGGTATTGCTAAGAAAGCAATTTTCGGGGAGGAGGCGAACCTCCTTGCTAGATCACCTCCTTGCTAGACCCCATTTCTAGGTGCAAAGGCGCTCGCACGCGTCTTCAGTTTTTGCTCTCTCCACGCGTCGCCGGACTAATGTGAAACTCCACATTAGTGCCCGCCTTTTAGTGATTAGGGTTTTGAGTGTTTGGACATTTTGTTCTGAGGAGATTATTGGGTAGTTTCCTAGGTCAAAAACAAATTGAATAAAATATTGAAAAATAACTAGGTATACTTTTATTCATCGACTGATCGATACACTAAATTTTAGAAATAAGTAAGCTATTTGACGCAAACATACTATGACGTCATAACTCAGTGTTTCATACAAATTTCATAGAAAAGTATCGTTTTTGACATTTGGATAAAAGTATTGAATTTGAAAGATTGAACTTGCTTGGTAAACGGTCGTCGTATAGCATAGCACTTTTTCTGCAATAAGTATCATGAGAAAGCTAAATTAATTGAAAATAAAGACACTTTTTTTTTTAATTTCATTATGAAATATAATATATACCTACATGTTTTTAACTGATTCAGCATCATTTAAACCTCTCCGGCCTTATTACAAAACAAGGTTTTACTTTAGTCTAGGACTAAACCGTTGAGCCAGTTTTCGTATTTCGAATTGAAGGTAGATGACAATAAGATTCAAAATTCAAAACCCGACTCAGTGGTTTAAACCTGGACTAAAGATAAACCTTGTTTTGTAATAAGGGGTTTGGGGTTTGTGTGTGATACTATACTTTTCTATTTGTCTCACATAATAATTATACATAACTTTTTTTTTGTGAGGGGAAAATCATCAAATGACTTCGCCCGGCCCTGGGCGGGAGGGAGGGAGGGAATGTCAGACTCTTACTGACTAAAAACCCCCCTGTTCCTTCTCCTGCTCTGGACCAAGGTCGCGGTGCCTTATTACGCTTACCCCGCAACACATAACTTAACATTAAACAATTTTATAACAAAAACAATCAATCAATCAACACACAACCGCATACTTTCCAAGTAGTGTTCTGTTACATAATTAAATGTGTTCTTAATTTATATTTTGTTTTTTTTTGGTTATGGCATTAGGCGTATCAGTTGGTAAAGAATTTAATAATCGTGGTATTAGATATGTACTGGTACATGAACTATTCGAGAAAAGCTCTACTAGTTTCAAGACTTACGGGATTCTTAGTCATGAGCAGCGTGCGCCGCGAGGCAATGTAGAGTTTCTATCAGTTGATAGAAACTAAAAGAGATTTTAATACACATATAATATTTTTTTTTGTCATAGGTCGACAAACGGGCAGACGGATTACCTGATGGTAAACAATCAGCGCCGCCCATGGACACGCGCAACGGAGGAGTCACCAGTGCGTTGCCGACCTTTTAGGGATTGAGGAGGGATTGGGGGAGGGGAAGGATTGGGCCTCCGGTAACCTCACTCACACGGCGAAACACAACGCTGTGGTTATTTCACGCCGGTTTTCTGTGAGGCCGTGGTATCACTCCGGTCGGGCCGACCCATTCGTGCCGAAGCATGGCTCTCCCACACTTGAAACAATAATATTGATTGTTAATGACCTTTGAGTTTATTATTTATTATAAGCATTAATAATTCGACCAGCAACACTTCTATAACCACATGACCTTATCATGGACAAATTCTAAGAATTATACTTCCCGAATCAGTTTGCAAGAAGTTTTATGACTCATTATTGTAAAATAATACGCAATTGACATAGTAATGACGAATAGCACTCGTCCTATTATTATTAAGAACAAAGTAAACATAATAATAAAGTCCAGTGACCTGGATGGAGGGAGAAAAATAGTAAAATCATTTATTTCAAATAAGCTGACACGGCAAACTTCGTACAACTTCAGATACAACCTTATTTTTAAATAATTTATTTTTCTGGACTTTTAAACCGTCTCTGTATATCGAGGAATATTTCAAAACCACAATAAGCCACGTCAGTCCAGCCTTTCTAAGAGTTTTAGCAAGACAGAAATTATTTTTTTTATTTTTATATATAGGTATTCTTATATAGGTATATACGTTTTTATATTTTTGAACGTCAAACAATAATAAAAAAAAATATAATTTCAAATTCATGTGAGTCAGTCTGTCATCTAGTGAAGCTATTTGCTCGTTTCAAAGTGTAGGTTCCAACGGAGAACAACAAGCAAGAAACTCCAGGGTAACTTTTTCTTAGGTACTTACATAATTTATTCTATTATGTGAGAACAGTGCAACATTAATATTCAAAGAATCCGAAAAAGAAAACTTACCTCAAGGACAAATAATTGCAAGAGTAGAGAGATTATACATAATTATGTAAGCAAAAAGGTCTGACTTTTACTGACTAAAATCTACCTCGTCCCTTCTCGTGCTCTGTGAGATTGAGAGAATAGGCGTATACTATATATTATCAGCCCTTCAGTGGGGATGCAACCGACTGATGATGAGGATGATGATGAATTTATTGTGAGCTAAGAATGTTTAGGGTAAACTAAAATTTGGGATTGGTAATTTCAGTATTTGTTGATTGGAGGTTACAGTATGGGATTGGGATTTTGGAGTGAGGATTTGGGGTGGGGCTTCAGTCACGCGGCGAATCAAGACAACACAAGCTTTGTTTTATAACGGTTTTTATGAGGCCGATTTATACCTAGGTACTGGTCAGATTATTGGTAAGAATTTTGAAATCAGCTTTTATTCATTTTAATAAGAAAGTGTTCACAATCAATGGTCAAAACATCAAGGCAATCATCTTACTCATCATTAAAAGGATACCCACAGTATTACTTCCTTCCTTAGTTCAGTTCACAGCCGGTGTATATGGCTTGTCCCTTATTACGAGTTCCAGGTAAAGTGTTTATCAGGTCTACTTCAATCTGCCATTAATTTCATTGGATTTTCGTCTTTATATATTACAACAATAAAGTAACAATCTTTGACAGGCCATTTTCCCTTTTATTGATAGAGAGACGACATTGCGTCCTCACCTTCCGCCACCCTTAAAGGCTTCGGTACGTACCTGTTTAGGGTTCAGCGGCAGGAAACACCTGGAGTGGCGACCTACGGGTGGCGAGCAAGGGTAGCTGTCTAGCCGGGGTTTTGGGTAAAAGTGGAATATAATGTAATGCGGTTTTTAGGTCAAAAAGAGTCTGGCACCCCTTGTCGCCCCACCCAGAGCTGGACGATTTAACGTTGACCTACTCAGTGCTCAAAGCACCCATGGAAAACCGTGACAGGCTGCTACCGAGCGAATGGCTTAATTATTTTTCTCGCCTAATTATTTTTTTCCTATCGTTACGTTAGGAATGCCATACCAGTTTACTTTATTTTGTTTGGTGAAGAGCAATCTTGACAAGTCTGTCATCTGTCTGATAGTGAGTTTGTTTTTAAAGATAAAATAATATTTAAAAAAGTCACTTAATACA